GTTGTTTTCCTTTCTCTTCCCTTTTGGGTTTTATTATGGTTTAAATTACGTTAATGTTTATTTGAGTTAACTTATTTTGTGCGTGGCCTCCCCATTTAATGTTGCACTGCCTTGAGCCTGGTAGTTTGTAACAAAACTCCTCACCTTTAGGTGACAACTCACTTTTTTTTAGATCAAAATAGGTCACGTATGAGATTTTCTTAGATCCAATGAGAAAGTGTTTTATGGGGGGGGGGGTTACAAGGGTAAATGAAGAACTGGGGCCGGTTGCAGACTGGTCAAAACTTTTTATATTCAGCTATGAAAAGGTAGACTGGTCTTATTTGTATTGGTAAAGTAAGACTGATAACCAGTTGGCAACTGCTAGTAAGTTTTGTGTAGTATTTTCTTTACTCTTTACTAAACTATCTAAAAAGGGTACTATTTTATGTATTTGAGGTCTGAGATGTGGGAACAGGGAAGAGAGAAGGCGAACATTTAGCATTTTAGGTCTAATCCGCCAATATTGTCTTAAATAGCCTGCATAGCACGTCATCTATTATAACATGGGATTTTGACCAAATATATTCAATCTTGATTTTTGTCAAATGTTGCAACAAGATATTAATTTTTTGTGTGCGAAAAATTACAGTTTTTGACATAAGGTAATAAAAAATATTTTAAAAAATACCTTAAAGTAACTACAATTGAGCATGTAAAACAAATATCTTTAAAAAAATAAAATAAAATTCCATGTGGAGCATGCCCCCGGTTCTCACCCTTTTTTCCCCCTTACCTGTTTTCAACTCTGTGCTAAACTTTTGTAAAAAAGATAAGAAATATCCATGATTTTGGTATGGGGTAAGCTTGTGTGAAAAGAAAATTTAAGCATTTTAGAAACGTGTTAATTGACTGAATATTGTGTGTAAACAACACAAATTGTGTTAATGGTATGGTCACAACAGACCGATGTTGTGCTAATTGTGTATAGAGTTTTGAAAATGCGACTACAGATTGGACAAAGGGATGTTAGCAATTGGAAAAAACTGTATTACTTAATGAAATGTCTGTAGTAGGCTATTTCTAGATGCCTTTACAGGCTACTGTCTGAAAAAAAAAAAAAAAAAACTATTTAATTTGTATTTTTGAGTAATATATTTCTTTATCATTTAGCTTGTAAGTAATACTTGGAGTGTTTACTTGCCTTCAGTAAGCTTGAGAATGTTTTATTACATTAGTTTATAATTTTTTTGCTTTTGTATTAGTGGCAATTTCTAGCATCCATGATTTTGGTATGGGGTAAGCTTGTGTGAAAAGAAAATTTAAGCATTTTAGAAACGTGTTAATTGACTGAATATTGTGTGTAAACAACACAAATTGTGTTAATGGTATGGTCACAACAGACCGATGTTGTGCTAATTGTGTATAGAGTTTTGAAAATGCGACTACAGATTGGACAAAGGGATGTTAGCAATTGGAAAAAACTGTA